CTTAAATGACAACTGGGTTAGTCACACTTTAAAGATTAAATTAGCATTATATAGCTTAGAGAATAGTAAAGAATATACGTAGTTATACTTTAATTTTTCTTAATAAATCAAAAGTTGTGGCATGACTGCTGAAAAAAAAGAAAAAAAATTATTTAAAGAATATTATAAGATATAAAAACAAATTACAGATTTTAATTAGTTGTTTAAATTATAAATTATTCTTATCAATTTTAATTAGTTTATCAAATAAATAAAATCTAATCCTTCAAACTATAGTTTATAAATAATAAGATTAAAATTAAAGTTTTGGATTCAAATTTAAAGTTAAAGATTAGAGTTAAAGTATTTTATAGTAAAAAAATTGTTTATAAAATAAAAATAAATTTTAAATAAAACTTTCATCAAATAATTTTTTGTAAAATAAAATAAATTTATTTTAAATATTATTTTCTAAAATAATAAATATTATAGATCTCATTAATATTTTATTGAATTATTTAAAAATTTAGTATGAATTTTTTAATTTTCCAGAAAAATTCGTCTGAAATACAGACCAAGAGATATATTTTAAGCCCTAGTTTAATTATTTCGTCTATTTAGAGGTTTTGCGATTTACGGAGGAAGGAGTCTTTAATAATTTTAATTAAGAAGTATATATGATTGCCGCCAAGGGAAAACCTGAATGGTTACTTATAAAATTTATAAGTAAGCATTCAGGTTTTCCCTTGGCGGCACCCATATCTGATATTTAAGATAGCATGTCTGATATTAAATATTATTTCAAATTGGCTTGTTTAGTTAATCTAGGCATGTACTGTACCATTATCATATTCCTCCTCACGTTAATTGACCATCTGGACGTCCGAAATTTACCGATCTTCACAAAATCGGTATTTAGAAGTAAAATAATTGGTAACTTACGATTATTTGTGGTAAATTACGTAGTAACAAGTACAATAATTTAATGCGCTATTTTACTTTAACATAGTAATTACCGCGGTAAATTACAGGCTTGGTTGGGGTCTAAACTTCTGAGATTCACGCAGAAATTGTATATTTCTATATAAGATCAAAGATGCAAGTTTTGATTAGGCTTACTTGCATGTGCATATTTATTCCGTTTGTAGGAGATGATGGTTAAAGATCGTCAAAATAAATAAATAAAAAAGATAATTGTACAACCGGGATTATGCGTCATTAGTTGTACTTTATATTTAAGTTATGATACTTATGTGACATATAACTTATAGGAATAATATGATTATCTTTGTTTATTCCTCAACAGGAATGTATTTTGCGATTGTAAATTTAAATAATAGTAATTTGTCCTCTCAAATACTAGCAATAATGAAATAATTGAAAGTAGCCGCGGAATCAAAAATCCGATTTTATAGAAATTTCTTTTCTTATCACTATAGATAAGATGCTATATGATGTGTAAGCTAATTTAAGGTTTGAAGAAAACATTTTAGTCTTTCATAATAGTTATCAAAGTTCGAAATGAGTATATCATTTATGTCATGTAACATATAATTGAGTGCAATCAAATAAAACAGATCAATGTTTAATAAAAAAAAAAAAATTTACAGTTTCCATTCCAGTTTCCATTTAGCGATTCTTATTTATCAATTGTGTATTTCGAACGTTTTCGTTTCCGTGTCCTCCTCCAAAAATGGTCGGTCCCGGGCCAACTTGTGTTCAAAACAACTATTAATTCACGAATTGAGTACACGTATATGTAAATAATGAATGTTTCGCTTATATGCAGTAAATGATATGTATAAAGAAAGGAATAAATATATTAACATGGAAGACATGGAAAAGTAGTGAAACATACATTTAATGCGTTTTCTATTACGTAATACGAACGTGAAGTGATTGTGATCGTCTTTAATTTATCAAGAATGATTTAGATTATATGGAATCATACAGTATGCGCGTTTTTTTTGAAAATTAACATTATTTAAACCATATCAGATATTTAATTAATTAGTTTACTAGTTTTGGATTTCAATAAATTATTTAATATCTTACTCGAGAAAAATGTATTCGCCTTTGTGAAATACGTATGGTATTTCTTATTTTCTAGTTACCTTTATATATTAGCTGGTAAAACATTCTCTGCGTATAAAGCTCAGTCGGATACGAAACTCCTATATGTATATAAATCTTCTTTATACTACGCCAAAATCAAATTATTTATAAAAGTACTCATTTTAGCATCAAAAATATTTTTTGAGAACGCATTAACGACATAAAAAAATATGGATCCTGAAACTATCGAAGTCACTTTTCCACCAAGAATTTCCTTAAGACACCTCGCAGAAAAGCGTCTCCAAAATCCTGCACATTCCAAATGTCTAAACTCATTCTTTATTTATCGTCTTGCTTTCCTTGATGAAATGCGAATCCGTAATTTTAAAATCAAAATGACCGAAGTATCACCAATTATTAGTGCATCCTGGCGTCGACAAACTCCATTCATTAAAAACGCGTATAAGGAGTTTGCACAAGAAGTTGAAAGATTGTCAATCGAATTACGCCAGAATGCGACTCGTAGGCGTCACGTTGTCGTTCCACCTTCGAGTGTTCCAACGGCCGTAATGTCACAATCCCCACAGTTGGCTACACCAATTACATACGAAAATTATAGAGGTTTTATTTTACAACATCAGCAACTGGGCTTTAGCGGGTTTCCGGCAAATTTTCCACACATTCCCTACTCTTTTCAAATGATCTCGCAAAATAATGAAAATTTCTTTAATTTTAATATTGACCCTAATAATAATCATCAGTTTTAAATGTCAATATAATGCGATAAGAATTTTTTTTTTTTTTTTTTTTTATGAAATATTCAATTAAGTGATATCACGACAAATTTTTTAAGCATATAAGTTATATGATTTTATGATTTTATCGTTTTTTTTTTCTAAAAATTTTTAAAGTTGTTGATTTTTCGGCAATAAGGCCGGGAATATAACGATAATTCTGCTGATTATATATATTACGAGATAATCAGTAGTGTCCCATCTTATTGCATTTCAACAAAGCTTTTTTTTTTTCTATGTATTAAATATGATATTCGAATAATAAAATTAGCAAAAGGGCATTATATAAGGCACCTAATGTAGGAGAAACTTCGTATTCACTACAATTGATTACAGTCACTCTTGATCAGTGTCTAAAATAATAGTATGGACGCTTTGCGCACATATACTTTAAAATTATGGACGAATGCGCACATTAAAATTTTTTAAATTCATATATGTTTTAAGCTTCGATGTGCGCTATATTTATTATGCAGTAACTTGCTAATTGATTAATAATCAAAATTATAAAATAATTGCGAAACAAATAAAGCTTTTTTCGAAGCAATTTTTATTGCGCACATTAAAAAAAATTTAGGGGCGCTGCAGCGCACCAGAATCTAAATGTAATGTGCGGCCCGCCCATAGTTTTAATACTGAATTTTAGACACTGCTCTTGATAGTGATAAATTATCAAATATTTTATTAGAGATATCATATAGATATATAATTTTTTTTAAAGAGTTATAATTTTAACTAGGGTTGCCGAGCCGACATTATCAAATTTGATAAAAGTATAAACTAGCCACGTGATAGTTTGTATTTTTAAGGCCCGTCAAAATATAAACTGATACATATTATCTCTTAATACGTTACGCAGGCAAATTTGCCTGCAAAAACATAGTAAACATATGAAATCTACATACGAAGAGATAAACCTAAAAACTATAAAAAAATTCTTGAGCATTGTTTTTTATATTTATTTATTGTATAGTTTTTTTTTTTTTTTTTTTTTAAAGCTAATTATAAGACCTCACCAATGCTTTAAAGTCCATAATTGCTTGAAGTTAATTTAGATTGTGATTTAAAATTTTTTCATTACAATTCCGTGTTATCAATATTATAATTAGCAAAGAATTGTTAAATTTAAATTATTTGTTTTGACGATAGCTCTAGTTTATAATACAGTTTAATAATAATTTATTGGATTTTGAATGCCCAATTAATGTCCATTGGATCATTGGATATAGGAGAGCGGATAACGTTGAACAGTTTAACTCCAATAGTTAACGTGGTTTGAACGTGGTTTGAACTTGATGATCTCACTCAGTCAGGTGGGATTCGAGTATCAATGATGATTGGAAATAAAATTATTGTTTTATGTTACTTTATCAAAAAGGATATGGGGTCTTTGCCTTGAAAATCAAGTTTTGATCATATGATTTACTATGCCCGTAAGGTCATTTTCAAGGCAAAGACTCCATATGAGCTCCTCTCCTTTATTTATTAAATGAGACAGCCTGTGCTTTTATACATTTTATGATCTTAAGAGACCTGACCTGCTTGAGGTTCGTGTTGTTACTTTAGCCTCACATAGCCTCTACACAAGCTAAAACCATAACAACATGGACAAGATATACGAATTACACTCCTGGATCGCCAACAAAGCACTAGAAAATTGATCGGAAAATTTAAAAACAAATATTCATTTCAAAAATTCGCAACCTTTTGTTCTTTAGTCCATCTAAGAACTGAGCAGGTCCTATTTTTTTCAATATTAAGATCAATTAGCATTAAATAATTGATTTTTCAATATTCGAAATGCACACAAAATGAAAAAAGAACGTTTAAAAATCCAATTACTGTATGTGTAAAAGCTCAATTTACGAATTTATTTAAGTTATTCACAGAATAATTTATTCGCTTTTTTCAAAGTTATTCACACAGAATAATTTTTTCATTTATTTTCCTTTTTAACCAGTATCATAATCGTTAATGATATACTGATCAGTTATAAAAATTGTGATTCCAGATTAAAACATAAATTCCAAAGCATATACATATTATAAATTTAAATATTTTGCTAGAATAATAATTCACTTAACAAGATATTATCGGGATTCAATATTCTATATAATTCAATGTTAAATTCATCATTTTCAAAAAGTTTTTGACACATTTTATCGATAGCAATAACACTTAACACTGTTTGCACATATGCATCAATTAAATCATCAATACCAAGTCCAAGAATTTCAAATCCTTTTTGATCCATCATAATCACTCTATCACTTTCTTCTACCCATTCTGAATCTGTTTTTACTGATACATTTGTTCCAAATATTTCCCATAATGTATCTATAATAATTAATTCGTTAATTATAAGTAAAAAATAATAATACACAATATACAGTATATCGAATTAACTTACAGTTAGAATTATTTGAGAGATGAGTAGGTAATGGTTTACGAGCACGTCGTGAAACTACAAGCACAGGGTGAAATCCAGTCTCATCAGATGATACCATCATTCTCAAATCGTAAACAAAAGTTTGCTTAGAGCAGTTTGGCATGGTACCAATATGATAATATTTTTCAGGTTGTAGTACTGGAAACCAGGATGCATTTTCAACAAGTGATTGTACAAGAAACTTTTCATAATGTTGATGCTTATCATCAAGAAATTCCTTTAATTCATCTGAATTAGTGATTATATAAATACCTTTTCCTAAATTTACAAAAGAGTAATTAGAATTCTGTAGTAAAAAAGTGTTTTTCATAAAATAATTAAATTTTATCATATTAGTTTATTAAAATAAATCATAATTTTTTTATAATAATTACCAGCAGTGCCATAAGGAGCTTTGATCACTGCATGACCTCCCATCTTTTCGATATATGAGAGAGCTTCACGCTTGTTTACATTACATACGGTTTCTGGAAAACGGATAGAAAGTCCACTTCCAGATAATTCATTGTTAAATAATTCATATGATTTTGTTGCCATAATTTTATTTTGACCTCCAGCTAAACATGAAATTACATTATTAACAACTATAGTTTTTGATTTTAAGGGAAAGTAACTCCAAGGTTTTTGAGCCATATAGATAAAACATGCTCTGATTGAATGCCAAGCTGATTGAGAAAAGACAATTACTAATTAGTATTTATCTAGTAATTTATGATTATTAATTATTATTAATCAATATTATTGTCCGGAGCAAAGCGAAGGCAAGGTCTTAATTTTTGCGCAAATTATATCAAAGCAACTTTCTTGATGTACATGTTACATAGCAAAAAAAAGTAACTTGAAATATAAATAAAAAAGTTCCAAAAATAAAGAAACCTTAAATTATTCGCTCCGGACTTACTATTAAACTATTTCCTAATAACTATTATAAATTTGATAATAACCTCCATCTTGATCTCTAATGTACATAACTTGATTTTCCCATTTAACAGGCTGTTCATATCTAGTATCATCTAGGAATTTTACAAGCCAAATATGTTCATTAGTTTCTTCAGAGATCGCAGCTGCATATCCAATTGGCTCTACTGGTATTTCACCACTTTCCTCATCATATACTACTGCAAGCCCTCCAAGAGAAGGATCAGCATCTTTTAAAGCCCGTTTAAGTGCGGTTTGAATAACGAGCCTATATCCACTCCGTTTTTTGTCCATATTTAACAAAGGCATACTGGTTTGTCCTGCTGGACATGAACCGGATTCAACTAATATCATTTGCCGTTTACCGTTTGAATCCACTACATTGAAAAAATCAGAAGCTAAAAAAACAAAGTAATTATTTAATATTGATCAACTCACTATATATAATATAATAACATTAATAAATTGAGTTATTCACCTGCCCATTTATAGAACTTCGATTCATACTCCAAACATTGTCTCAGAATATTTACATCAACTTGAGGATTTAAATTTGAATATCTATTAATTATACGATCGTTTCCCAAATCGAAAAAGGAAACCACAGTAGGATGAATTATTGCATTAAGCGCTTTTGGTACAAGACATAATTCTGGTTTATAATCTCCTTGATATACTTTTTTTGTCGAGTTGTTAATAGAAACATTATTCTCTTGATTCAGATTTGTACCCAAGTCTGAATTTAAATTTTGATCATTCATTGATAACAAAGTATCTACTACACCTGAATATAAAAAGATTATTTTTTTTATATGAATTTCAAAATATAGAGGTATTATAATGGTTTAAATATTGTCAGGGGTAAAATCGGCTAGTCTGTCTCTTGATCTGGAATTCTCGCATAACAGTACGGAATGGGTTGGCTTTTACTTACTTAAGGCATGGGGCAAAATTTGGCGAGTATAATTTTATTATTTATTTTAATGTTTATAAGTTTCACAGATTTTAATAATTTATTTTGTAGGGACCTGAATCTTTCTACCCTATTCAAGTTTCGAGTATTGAAAGATGAGTATTTTATTTCGAATTGGCTTTGCTAACAATTCTGCCCAATTCAGCCATTTAATTTACTTTTACCATTATCGGGTAGGTTCTCGTATGATTCATTATTTTTATAACTTACCAACTTTCCTTATTTCGATCCAGCCTAGAAATGGGAATGCCGTGGCTTTATTTTGCTCACGTTACGTCATGGTCATGTCACGTTTTCGTGGGTCACAATTTTCTAGCCTGTGATAATATTTAAATTTTTTTTTTTTATGCAGAATTACGTAATAGAAATTATCGGTGCCGCTCACTTCACCGACAGTCATTTCACCGAAAGTTCATTTAACCGACATCACATGGGTTTAGGGTTAGGGTTTTTATTAGTTTCAGGTATATATTTTTAATAAATTGTCACTTGGTGTGATGTCGGCTAAATGAGCTGTCGATGAAATGATTGTCGGTGAAATGATACGGATCCGAAATTATATCGTCCGATGTCACGTTATTTTTTAAATGATGAAAAGGGTGCCTGAACTAGTGTTGTACACTTTCGCATGTCTAAAGCTTTTTTGGACATGTCCAAGCTGTCCATAGCTCTAAATATTTTAGTAATTAAAATAAAGATTAAAATAGATTATCATAATAAAATTTTTAGTAAAACTATTTTCAAAATCATGTCCAAAGGCTGTCTATGTTAGTGTTGTAGACGAAACTATTTTCCAGTTTTGCCTTATAAGTCCGAAACTAGTTTCGTCCAATTTTGTTATGCAAAATTGGGTTTCGCCTACAACACTAGTCTATGTACAACACTGCCCTGAACAGTCAAGCTAACCTAAACCTGACTCAAAAGTTTGAGTCGGTTTGGGTTAAGAATTTTCATTTCATTCTATCAGATCTTGAATAAATATTTTATATTCATATTATGCTAGTAAAAACTAAATTTGCAATTTACTATGAAAATATCCTCTTAATGACCTATATTATTAATAATTTAAAAACTCTTTCCCGTACATCCCAATTTACATATAAAATTTTTTGTGTACAAGAAAAAGTTAACTAGAAACAATTAACTAAATAAAAATTCTCAAAGAAGTGCAAGTACAAACTACTAGAGTGCTAACAAGCACTCTACATAAAACAACTTTTATACTAAATAATATTAAATAGCAAAAAAAGAGAGACAGGAATAGCAACAACAAAGAAAACAGATCAGGGAGTACCTTCCAAAAAGAAAACCAAACAACCAAGAAACATCAACAACAACCTCAACAAAACAAAATGAGCCAAACTTATAATACAAATAGGCAATGACAAGAAGAAGTAGATGAAACAGAAACAGAAAACAACCAAGACCTCAAGAAAAATAAAAGATGCAAAACCATAGATACACCTCAACCCAATATCAGAATAGAAAATCTAGAAAAATATGAGCAGAATAGCTTACTCCTGACAGATTTACATGTAGGAAAAAATAATAACAACAACAACACAACAATTACTAATTCGGATGAGATTACAGCAACCCAAACCAAATCAGAAGATCTGCAATGCACTAGTAACAACAACAACAAACAGGAAATCACAACTAACAAACCAGATAATGCAATGATTGAAATAGAAATTGACCAAACATCTAATAGCCAAACTAGGAATACTAGCAATATAACTATAGAATTAATAAGCTTAGAATCATCTCGTACTATAATACCAGATATTGAACTTAACCAAGAGGAAATAGCTAAAGAGGAAAAAACCAAAGGCAAGAAAACTTCATATAGCCAAGCCTTCCAACAAAATCTAGAAACTAGCATACAATTAGAAACAGATACAGACTATACAGATCACTAGTAGCAATATGTGAAAAAAGTAATAGAAAATGCAATAACAAAAGAATTTGATACAGAGATATAGAACTACGATAAAATCATCCAAGCCTTCAACACAAATGAAGAAATAAAAAACTTCATAGAATACAAACTCAATACAACAACTACTAATATCCAAATACCTGAGGTAATAAAGAAAAAATTCATCTACAAAGATACAGCCTTTTTCGTAACCTTTACACAAGAGAAGAACACAATACCAGCATATCAAAAAGAGTTTATAGACTTACAAACAAAGGCAATACAAGTATACAAACAAACTAATGAAATTACTTTATTAAACAGGAAAGTCAGAGATATGATTCAACTCAAACTACGACAAAAAATTATGATTGACTACTTACTTAATACAAACTTCTGGAAACTTAACAAGTACCAAATATACTAAGAGCTAAAATATGCAAGAAACTTCATAAAAGCAGAAAAAATTGAAGACTACACCACAACACAGAAAGCAATAGAAGATGCAATAAGTGCAAAACTAAAAGAACTCCCTGAAAGACCAAACCTAATTTCAGAAGAGATACAGAATATCTTATCTTTTGAACTACTAATCAAAAAAAGGTCTCAAACAACTGCTATAGTAAACACACTAAGAATTATTTACAACTTCAGCCGTCTACCTGATATATACTTCAAAGAGTTACTTCAACTTCCTAAAACACTATATGATCTACCAATTGAGATGAAATATACTTTTCCAATGCAGAATAAAAGTCAACTCCAACAACTTCACTACCATATGCAAAAGCTCTGAGATTATTATAGCTTTGAGCAACTACTAAAAACATATTTTTGATCTACTACCACCAAGGGAAGCTTTGCCTATAACATACTATGAGCTCAACAGCCAAGTTCGCGAAATGTTCTCGGTAGATCTATCAACAGAAGAGTACACAATCAAAGAAGTAAAAGATATACTAAAAAAATACTATATCTTCAAGAATATACCTAATGACTACTTCAAACAAAAACCTCTACTACCTAAAGATTCACAAAAAATTAATCTTAATACCAAATTTATATACCCAATAACAGATAATGAAGAAGCAAGAAAATTCATAAAAGCCGCTGAAAAGAAATATAAAATAAGACTCCTAATTGTAGCAGAAATCATGACTGCAAACCCTACTACAAATTATAGTTACCTCACAACTATAAAGAGATCAAGGAATTCAATCTAACTATTCCTATCAATACACTACAATTACTAACTGAAATAGCAAAACTACTCAGGACTGTCTATTACTTTACAAGAATTCCTGATGAGTGGATCGATATTAAACCAAGGCAGCATAATACACAAAATCAAACAGAAGAAGAAACAAAGCCTCTAATCCTATCTACACTCGTTAAACTCAAAGAGCATATAGAAAATAAAGAAATTAAACTTCAAATCGAACTACCTATTACTACACAACAAGAAATCACACCAATGATTAATAAGCTTAAAGAATACTTTAAGATACCACAAATCCCTAACTATTTACTAAATCTACCAGAACTTCCTGTACCATCCTAGAATATCTTTTACTAATGATAGAAAACAACAGAAGCACTAACAAAAACAAAAACAACCCACTAAAAAACAATCTAAAAATTATAACTCACAATGTACGTAGTCTAAACAATAACTTAAAAAGACAACTCTAACTAGAGTACTGCAAAGAACAAGATATCAACATAGCTAGCATTACAGAAACAAAACTAGTAGAATCAAAATTTGAGAAAATAGAGCTACAAAACCTTTGGTACAAGATATATATAGCAAACAACAACTCAACAAATACAAAGTGGTGAGAGACAGGTCTCAGTATAGCAATAGCGATAAAACATACTCTCCAACTATATATCCATAATATCTAAACAGAGCCAGATACTGCAATAAGTATTGATCTCTTCTTCTTAAATAAGACAAAACTTCGAATTATTTCTATATACTTACTCCATGACAAGATATTAAATACAAAGACCCAAAACTGAATTATTATCTGAACAGAACAAGCAATAAGCAAAGAGATGATACCAATAATCTTGAAAGATTTCAATATAGACCTAAAAAAATGCAAGCAAAGAATTCAACTTATTACATATATAGTGAGAAACAATATGCTCCTACTACTCCATACTATGATACCAAACATATCTACATAGAATGCAAGGGGATCTAATAGCCAAATAGATAAGATATAGATCCTATTAATACAAATTAATGAATTCACAACACTACAACTCACTAATGTGATACATATTACAAATAGTGATCATTATATTATACAAATATAATGGAACATACAAGACAAAATACTGCACATATAACAAAAGAGTACTCATAAAAGAAGAATATACAATTACAATGGAATGACCTAAGAAAAATGGAAACATTTCAACTAGGAGGTTGAACAACTAATCAATAACTCAACAACTACAAAGTCAAACAAAAAACAGATAGAGGATGCATATCAGCTAAACAAAATATGGAATAAACTCTCTGCAGCAATAATAGAAAGAGCAAAAAAAGATATTCTTAATACAACAAGAAAGATAAACTATTCAATCATCAAAAAATATAACTACTATACAACCAAAACACATAAAACCTTTATGATGATTAGATCTGTACTAAGACATATAAAGACTAATATACTACAAATTGATAGAGAGTAGTGTAACCAAAAAATCATCCAAATTAACAAATCAGTTAAGGAAACTATACAAGAAATAGTGGATACGGAATCACTCTCTAACACATTCCAAATACTTTTAAAAGGAAAAAGAGAAATTACCAAAGCTCGCAATATCAAAAATAAAATCAGAATAACATAAGA